ATATCTTTTGGAATTTACAGTTAGGTCTATATAGATTTGGCACAGGCACATTTTTAGTTTTTTTTCAGGTATTTACCAAAACATATTCAAACTATAGTTATATAATAGATATGGGCTGAAATTTGGAATCTATTATTGTGAACCTACATCATGCGTTCAAAGGAGCTGTCCGTGCAAGTGAAACAGGCCACTGTAAGGCTTCAAAAACAAATCCATCAGAGATAGTAGCAACATTAGGAGTGGCCAAATCAACAATTTGGTACATTCTGAGGAAAGAACACACTGGTGAGCTCAGCAACATAAAAAGGCATGGAATATCCATGGAAGATAGTGGTGGATGATCGCAGGATACCCTCTATGGTAAAGAAAAACCCATTCACAACATCCAGACAAGTGAAGGCCACTCTCCAGGAGGTGGGCATATCATTGTCAAAGTCTACAATCAAGAAAAGACTTCATGAGAGCAAATACAGAGGGTTCACCACAAGGTGCAAACCAGTCATAAGCCTGAAGAATAGAAAAGCCAGATTAGACTTTGCCAAAAAAAAAAAAATCTAAAAAAGCCAGACCAGTTCTGGAAAAGCATTCTTTGGACGGGGGAAACTAAGATTAATCTGTATCAGAATGACGGGAAAAAAGTAGCACAGTGAGCTAGGAAGGCTAGGAACAGATCATGATCCAAAGCACAACGTCATCTGTAAAACATGGTGGAGGCAGTGTGATGGCATGGGCATGCATAGCTTCCAGCGGCACTGGGTCATTGGTGCTTATTGATGATGTGACAGAAGACAGAAGCAGCTGCATGAATTCTGCTGTGTTTAGAGATATACTGTCAGCCCAGATTCAGCCAAATGCAGCAAAGTTGATTGGATGGCGCTTCACAGTACAGATGGACAATGATACAAAACACACCACAAAAGCAACCCAGGAGCTTTTGAAGGAAAAGAAGTGGAATATTCTGCAATGGCCAGGTCAATCACCTGATCTCAACCCAATTGAGCATGCATTTCACTTGCTGAAGGCAAAACTAAAAGGCAGAAAGACCCACAAAGAACAACTGAAGACAGCTGCAGTTAGAGCCTGGCAAAGCATCAGAAAGGAGGAAACCCAGTCTTTGGTAATGTCCATGGGTTCCAGACTTCAGGCAGTCATTGCCATTAAATGATTCTCAACAAAATATAAAAAATGAACATTTTATTATATTCATTTGTCCAATCACATTTGAGCACCTGAAAATGGAGGTGGACTGTGTATAAAAATGGTTGCAGTTCCTAAAATTTGTACTTGATATTTATGTTCAACCCCTTGAATTAAAATTAAAAGTCTGCACTTCAAATTCATTGGGATTGTTTTGTTTTAATTTATTCTGCTAGCATACAGAGCCAAAAGTATGAAAATTGTGCCTGTGTCCAAATATATATGGACCTAACTGTATGGCCAAAAAGTTCAACCTTGGTTTCATCAGATCATAACACATTTTCCCACATGCTTTGTTTTTGCTAAATTTAGTTGGGCTTGGATGTTTTTCTTCATAAGAAAAAGCTTACTTCTTGCCACTCTACCCCATAGCCCGGACATATGAAGAATACAGGAGATTGTTGTCACATGTACCACACAGCCAGTACTTGCCAGATATTCCTGCAGCTCCTTTAATGTAGCTGAAGGCTTCTTGGCAGCCTCCCAGACCAGTTTTCTTCTCGTCATTTCATCAATTTTGGAGGGACCTCCAGTTCTTGGTAATGTCACTGTTGTGCCATATTTTCTCCACTTGACAATGACTGTGTTCCATGGTATATCTAATGCCTTGGAAATTCTTTTGTACCCTTCTCCTGACTGATACCTTTTAACAATGAGATACCTCTGATGCTTTGGAAGCTCTCTGCGGACCATGGTTTTTGCTGTAGGACGCGACTAAGAAAATGTCAGAAAAGCCCTACTAGAACAGCTGAAATTTATTTCGGGTTAATCAGAGGCACGTTAAATGATGGCATCCCCAGTTACATAAGGGTGTGCACACTTATGCAACCACATTATTTTAGTTTTTTATGTTTACTCCACCCCAAAGATTTCAGTTTGTTTTTCAATGGAGTTGTGCAGTTTATAGGTCACACTATAATCACATCCACATTTTAAGAATGCATTGGATCTTTTGTTAGCCTACACATTTATACATAATATCTTAAACTCAGCAGACATAACAATCTATCTGTAATGTATGGCTATTTATCTTGGAATTCAGGTGCTAATCTCAAACGTTTGAAAATCTAGCTCTACATTTAGATGTAAATGTACTTAAATTAAGTGATGTGGCCTTCGCGAAGACCCCCCCTCTTCCTGTACTTTCTTCATTTAAAGCTAACTTGACAATGCTCTAGACAAACTATTAATACAAATATAATGTCTATATAAAAATTAGGATATACCTTTCATGTTCCATTTAATTTCACAAAGGAAAGTAACTAAGGAGTGGCTGTGGATATAGTATACTTGGGAGAGAGAGGGGTAAAACCTCATCTGGAATATGCAGTTTAGTTTTGGGCACCACTTTACAGAAAGAATATTGGAGAGCTGAAGAAAGTGCAGAGAAGGGCAACCAAACTGATAAAAGGCATGGAGGAGCTCAGCTGCGAGGCAAGATTAGCTGAAGTGAATGTATTCTCTCTATAGAAGAGTTATTCACTTTTAGGTCATTACAGAGAACAAAGGGGCACTCTTTATGTCTAGGAAGGGAGATTTAACCGAAACATACAGAAAGGCTTCTTTATAATAGATTGTTTTAAAAAGCTGGATGCATTCCTGACATCTGAATTCTGGGGATCAGGAAGGAATTTTTCCCCCCACTGGAGCAAATTAGACCATGCTTTATTGAAGAATTTTTTTTGCCTTCCTCTGGATCATCTGTGGGTATGGCATTGAGTATATGGAGGTTTTCAATTATTTTTTTTTTAATTTGCTGAACTAGATGCACTAGTGTCTTTTTTCAACCTATGTAACCTGCACAATGTAAGCAAAGAAAAGGTAATAAAAAAAAACTTACAACTGTTGTACTTGTGGGTTATTCATAAGGTTTGATGCCTGAAAAATAAACAAAGATATTTAGTACCTCCACAATAATCAGTTAAAGCCCATCCCCATACCCTGATAGAAACATACTTCTCCATCAATGTCCATGCCTCTACTGCAGATGTACCTCAGCATTGTAGCTACTCTCCGCACCTGTTTTGCACATCATTCTCCCAGACCACAGGTCTTCTCACATTGCCTTAATTACATTCTGTGGTATTCCCCTGGTTCATATTATGTTCTCTAGCAGCTCTTTCCCTATCCAAACCTCTCACCCTGTTGTCCATGATATATTCTCTCATATCCAACCCTCAAAAAACACAGTTTTTTTCTCTCCTAGATCCTACACCATCCTCCTCCACACATAGTGGCCATACGTCCTGCCATCTTACAGGGCGCCATGGTAGTGGTGGAGATGCATGCACTTCTAATATTCAGTCAAATGTATTTCCCACCAGTATTTCCACTGTACATATGAGGTCAAAATGGAATCTGAGATCTGCACAAAAGATCCCGTGTCACTGCTGCTCAATCCTTTCCTTTTCAGACACTCTGTCAGTGCCACAGCAAAGAGATCTCTTATGAGATTTTGACCATTCTGCCATGGTTTGACAAATTAAAGTCAAAGCTAGAATATTGTCTGCCAGCAAAAACAGAGTTCTAAGGAGGGTTTCCAACCTCTCATGGCTAGGATGCTTGAATATAGAACATCTCCTTGTTAAGATGGGCCACTGACAGATACACAGTTTGACAAGGTCCTTTCCAAACAAGAACAAGTTTAGGGCACGTGTGTGTGTGACATTGCAGACATTTTCAATCCCCATAGTGGAAGACCTCTAAGAGCAGGAGCAGTGAGAAGGTCTCAGAAGCATCAAAAAACTCTAAAACATGAGACTGGAGATAGCAGATGGACATTACCGTTTCAGAATGGTGCACATCACACCAATATGTGAAACAGTCTTCCAATTCTGGAGTAATAGCATAAGACTAACATCTCATGGATAATTTTATCAGGCAGAGATTGTGGCGACTCACGTATAGTCACTGTGACTGGTAGCTCAGAGACCACTAGGGTCATGGGTGGATAAACCATAGAGTCTGTGGGGGTAGGTTTGGGAGCATGTGTAAAGCCTTTGTGATCAGCTGGTCAGAAACTAAGTGAATTGAATGAAAAAGTCTTGCGAGACTACTGTAAACCCTGGCATCTTCAGAAAGCACAGAGCTACAGTTAGTAGAGTTTTGTGTTGCTATGGCTATTTTAGTGATTTTTTTTTTAATATCAGAAATAAATGGAATAATACATTTTAGTTACTATGTATTGGTTTTAGAACTTGGGCTTCCTCTATTCATATGCTAGTTAGCCAGTTTGACTGGTTTCATGGAGACTAGCAAAAGAGGAAGTGATGTTGGCAGGAAATGGGGAAAGAAAAAAAAGGACTTGAACACAGTTGTCTGCTGAACTCAAACGAAGCAGTAGTTTGGATAACTCAGAGAAGCAACAATGAACAAAAGGAGGATAGGAATTCCATAAGACCAAAGAAAGTCTGTGCAAGGAGGGATGACACTAAATCTATAACCCCAGTTAAATGACTGTTTAGAGTATCCCTATTGCATACATTGTCCCCCCTTCGTGACCATGGCATTTTTTTTGCTATTCAACACGGCGCTACTTTAACTGCACAACCATGCAATATTGTAAATAACTGAAAATGAAATTTAAATAATTTTTTCACACAAATAAAGCTTTCTTTTGGTGTTATTTGATCACCACTGGGTTTATTTTTTGCAAATTATGTAAAAAAAAAAAAAAAAAAAAAAAAAAATTATTATATTTTTCACATTCTGTTATAAAACAGAAAGGGCCGAGCAGGTTCGGCAAGTTGTTAAGATGGTGTACAGCAACAAGTAGTAAGTAAACCACTTCCCGCCCCACCACAGTACATTTACTGTGGCAGGGTGGCACAGGAAGGCACAGTCATGCCCCCTGCTGTGACTGGACATAGCCCGAGTTTGGCACCTGATTTCAGCCAATAATTTTGGCTGAAGTCAGCTGATCGGCTATATCCAATCACACAGAGTTCTGTATTTACAAAACATAGAACTGTTTACAGGGAACATCAATTTGGCTGTTAACCACTTCCCGTCCACCCGCAATGTACTGCGGCCGGGTAGCAGCTACAGGCAAAGCGACGTACCAGGCAAAGCAGACACAGCGGAATGAAGATCGCGGTGAACAGGCAAAGCGGACACAGCGGAACAAAGATCCCAGTGAACGGGACCCGGTGATCACGTGATCGCTATGCGATCACATGATCACTATGCGATCACATGATCACTATGCGATCACATGATCACTATGCGATCACATGATCACTATGTAAGCAAAGCTGTTATGAATCAACGTCACTCATAACTGCTCTGCTTCTATTCCTAGTGAGCTGTGATTGGCCCACAGCTGTCACATGATACATGGGGCCAATCACAGCACCCTGTACCATGCAACCAGCTCCAGCCAACCACAGATCACTATCCCGAGCTGTTAAAACTTAACTCATTGTGCTATTCTGATAAAAGTATTAAAAAAAATAAAAAAAGTAAAAAAACAAAAAAAAAAAAAAAACAAAAGCATATTGGGAACTGAAAAAAAAATTTTTTTGTTAAGAGTTTTTTTTTTTTTTTTTAAACTACTTGCCAATCGCTTACCTGCATTTTGCGGGTGAGCAGCAGCTCTTGGCAAAGTGACATAATCAGGCATCGCTTCCTATTTTGGGGTGTGAACGCACCTGCGCACCCCACTGCCCCCCGCACCCGTCGGTTAAGGGAGAGAAGAGAGAACACGGCACCGAATAAAAGCACCACTACATTTTACACGCATGAGTTAGATTAGCAAATATAACCCTTTGATCACCCTGTCACCCAGCCAGTGCCATAGTACAGTGTCAGTATATAGAATTTTTCACTGATCACTATATTCCTGCCACTAGTGACATTAGATAGCGTCCGGGTCAGTAAGCGTCCCTCCCAGCCAGGGTCAGCTAGCATTAGATTGCCCCCACACTATCTCACTCACGCTATAGGTCGCTGATCACCGTCATTACTAGTTTAGTGTTTGTATGGATCAATATATTGATCACAAACAGAACTATACTAGTGCCTCCTTTGTATAGTGGTCACAAAAATGCAGAGTTAGCAGGATCGGCCCCGTTCGCTGCCAGCACTAGTGTTTAGCCCCTCCGCTGTTTTTCATGGAAGATTTGTATCAATTGATTGTGGGCCAAAGCAATTTATATGCACAACAATACATGGCTGCCCACCCAAATTCGTCTCTTGCCAGGCAATTCGCATGGAAACCTATCACGGTTTCTGAATTTAAAACACTTTTGGGCCTAACCCTCAACATGGGCATTACAGAAAAGAAAGCATTGCGGTCATGTTGATCCACAGAGCCATTTCATCGTATGCCTGTGTTCTCTGCTGTTACATATATGCCCAACATGGACCAGCAACATACTGGTACATTGCTGGACTTTGAGTGGTTATACCGGGATGATGTCTGCAGCTACAGGCATCATCCTGGTATTGTTTTTTTCAGCTGGTGGTTGGCTTTCATTTAAAAATTATCCTAGTGGCCAATTAGCTGCTGAATTGTTTTTACGAGCAGCGGGAAGAGACATCCCCCTTCCACTGTTTTCTTGGGCTCTCCTGTCCCACAGGGGAATCCGAGAATAAAGCCGGCAGTTCCTCTGGCTGACCATAGAGCTGGCACTTGTACCAGAGTGATGGGAAGAGAAGAGTATGGAGAAGGAAAGGAACTGCTCATGATCCTAAGCATACCACCTCATCAGTGAAGCATGGTGGTGGTAGTGTCATGGTGTGGGCATGTATGGCTGCCAATGGAACTGGTTCTCTTGTATTTATTGATGATGTGACTGCTGACAAAAGCAGCAGGATGAATTCTGAAGTGTTTCGGGCAATATTATCTGCTCATATTCAGCCAAATGCTTCAGAACTCATTGGACGCCACTTCACAGTGCAGATGGACAATGACCCAAAGCATACTGCAAAAGCAACCAAAGAGTTGTTTAAGGGAAAGAAGTGGAATGTTATGCAATGGCCAAGTCAATCACCTGACCTGAATCCGATTGAGCATGCATTTCACTTGCTGAAGACAAAACTGAAGGGAAAATGCCCCAAGAACAAGCAGGAACTGAAGACAGTTGCAGTAGAGGCCTGGCAGAGCATCACCAGGGATGAAACCCAGCGTCTGGTGATGTCTATGCGTTCCAGACTTGAGGCTGTAATTGACTGCAAAGGATTTGCAACCAAGTATTAAAAAGTGAAAGTTTGATTGATGATTATTCTGTCCCATTACTTTTGGTCCCTTAACAAGTGGGAGGCACATATGCAAACTGTTGTAATTCCTACACCGTTCACCTGATTTGGATGTAAATACCCTCAAATTAAAGCTGACAGTCTGCAGTTAAAGCACATCTTGTTCGTTTCATTTCAAATCCATTGTGGTGGTGTATAGAGCCAAAAATGTTAGAATTGTGTCGATGTCCCAAAATTTATGGACCAGAATGTATTTCGACAGGGAGATGTTACACATACATTGATGTTTGTTTGCCTTTAGATAATTTTGTCCCTTCCTCATTCCATACCTAGGATATGCTCTGTTTAGAAAGTCCCCCACCCTTTTTCAGTGTGTCTTTAGTTACTGTTCTGAGCACATGTAATTGCTGGAGCTTGACATACTATGATTTTTGACCTGATGTTCATCTGTGAAGATCTGCACAAGTTTTCAATTAAAGCTTTCTACGATCTGCAAGATGTCATTTGGATCACGTAACTGTCTGCTAACACTGCTGAAACTGCAAGTTATATCCATCTCACCAAAACTGGATCATGTTAGGGGATCACGCTTTCCATGCTTAGATTGGGAAAGCAGAACAAGCTTTGTATATGAAAGAAAGATAGGAGCTGATTGGTGGCCATGCACAGCTGCTCCACATTATGGTTGCTCCAATTTTCATATATTCCCCTCAGCATGCTCTACCACCAAGCAATTACATAATGCAATATTTTTTATATAATCCACCCTACTGCTGAGATTTATGTTATACACACCTCTTTCTCTAATAAGAAAACAATAAAATTAGTAGGAATACAAAAAAAAAAAAAAAAATCAGCTTACTTACCATACTCATAAAGCCGGGATTGTTGAGCAGCCCAGCTAGATCAAAACCACCAGGAGCAGCCATCTGTAGTTGAAACAAACTGTCAGTTAATTTCCTGTAACCAGGATTCTTCTAAGTCATAAAATTAACAACTTGCCTTCCGCCCTATAGCAAAAGTACTGCTACAGGGTGGCAGGGCTGCACAAAATCACATACATATACGCGATTTGTAGCTCCATGTTGGGGGCGCATGCGTCACCCTCCCCGCTCCATTATTGGTGGCTAGAGATGTCAATCACCGGGTCCCAGCCAGTGATTCCCAGCCGGCACTTGGCGATAGTCGGGGAAAGCTGACAGGGGAGAGACTTGTGTGTAAACAACACAGGTCTCTCTCCTGACAGCAAGGACATGCTGTTCTGTATCTCTCTGCACAGCAGAGAGATACAAAACGGCAGGTCTCTCTAGTAAAAACATAACAGTGAACACAATAATACACACACAGTTAACCCTTTGATGGCCCCAGATGTTAACCCCTTCCTGCCCAGTGTCATTAGCACTGATCAATGTATTAGCGTCACTGGGGATGTCACTGGCAGTCAGTTCCCACCCAAGGAAAGCCCGCCACAGACCTGCAGTATGGCTATAAGTCACTGACCGCCGCCATTACCAGTATTAAAAAAAAAAAAAAAAGTCCAGCATATATGCCACCTTTTGTATACGCTATACCTTTCATGTAAACAAATTAATTTACACGTATTGGGATTTTTATTTAGCAAAAAACATGTAGCACAATACATTTTGGCCTAAATTTATGAAGAAATTTTACTTTTTACATTTTTTTATTAGATATGTTTTATAGCAAAGTGTCAAAAATATATATATTTTTTTTTTTTCAAAATGGTCGGTCTTTTTTTGTTTATAGTGAAAAACAAAAAAATTAAAACCGCAGAGGTGATCAAATACCACCAAAAGAAAGCTCTATTTGTGGGGAAAAATAGTTACATAAATTTCATTTATGTACAGTGTTGCATGACCACGTAATTGTCAGTTAAATTAATGCAGCGCTGTATCGGAAAATATGGCCTGGTCAAGAAAGGGGGTAAATCCTCTGGAGGGCAAGTAGCCAAGACACTTACTGGACTTGGTAGCTCCTTCATTTTCTGTTCAGCAATCTTAAGGTTTGATTTATATGTATCGTTATCGGGATCCAGCTCCAGTGCTCTTTTGTAAAAGCTCACAGCTTCAGCGTGCTTGTTCAAACTTGAGAGTGCCAACCTGGAAAAATGAAAGAAGAAGAAATTCATGCGAGTAAAAAAAAAAACAAACACAAAAAAAATTAGTTGTGAGCAAACCTTGCATAAGCAAGCATTTAACTTGCCCTTACCCCATTCTGCCATAGGCTTTGCTGTAACCGGGGTCAATTGTTATAGCCTCTTCACAGTCCCGCACAGCCCCAGCATAGTTTCCTATTTTACTGTAAGCTGCTGCCCTGCACAATGCAAAAAAAGTGAGAAGTTAAATACATACTGAAAACGCAGGATGAGCTATACTCCTCCGTAGGAATGAATGAGATGGCAGGACCATTTTCCTTGCAAAGGCTAGGCGGCTCTGGGCAGGGTCCCACAGTGAAGATCGCTCGGTGGGGAGGAAAGCAAGTAATCTACCAGGGATTAATGGACAACAGATACAGCTGTTCATAAAAAAAAATAATAATATTTCAAAGACTATTCCAAGCAGCATTGTTATTATAAAACAGTAAACTGAATCTTGTGATGAAGGATCTCATGATGAACAAAAATGATACTTCATGCTAGGAGATGCCTTCACTCTAAACACAGATAAACCAGTAAATGCATCTTTTTAATAAGCCCAGAGTTCAGCCTACTATGTAATTTTTAAATCCCTGAAGAAGGGGAAATGCTGTTAGCACCTAAATCATTATGAACATTTTCTTCCACGTCAACATGTTTATGAATAAAATGACTAGGCCAGTGGTGCAACAAAAATCCGAAAGGGGTTCTAGACTTTCCCTAATCTACTTAAAAGGATAAGTTCACGAACGCGACCTGGGAGTGGCTGTGGATCCGGAGGACTGGAATAAAGCCTGGTCACTCATAGCTAAATGTTCGTTTAATACGACCACGCTGGAAGCAGCCTATAAGGTATTGTTTCGTTGGTATTGGGTGCCGGCTCGTTTGGCCCAGGCTAACCCTGCCTGTAGTGATCGATGTTTTCGGGGTTGTGGCCATCGTGGCGATGTACTGCATATCTGGTGGTCATGCCCGAGGTTGGTTCGTTTTTGGTCTCGTGTGTTTGGCCTCCTTTTCACTTTGTTTCATCTCTCCATACGCCGGGATGCTCGGTATGCTTTGCTTCATTGCCCCATACCGGGCCTCTTGGCTCGTCAGCAGCGATTGGCTTCCTATTTGTTTTTATCGGCCACTAGGACAATTGCCCAGGCCTGGAAGAGTCCGTTTGTACTTTTTCAGGGGGTGCGGGATCGCATGACTACTATGATGCTCAATGAACAGATGTCGAGTATATGCAATGACTCTCAACATAAATTTTTGAAAATATGGGAACCGTGGTTGCAATATGCCTTTCCCACGCTCCCCCCGGCCAGTGTAGGGAGGTGATGGAGTTTTGTATTGGCGCTCATGGACCCTTGGTCTCTGGTGTGTGTTTTTGTTTTTTCTCTTTCTTTCTTCTCTGCTTTTCTTCTTTCCTTTTCTGTTTGTTTTGATGTGACAGTGGACAGCTGTCTTTAGTTGCGATAATCTGAGTTTCACTGATGTTATTGTAACCTATGTGCCATTGATAGCCCCTACGTGGGCATACGTTTTGCCTTATTGGAATTAGAGCATTGTCTGCTCTATTATACATTTTCTATCGGTGCAATTGATAGCCCCTGCGTGGGCGTGTTTTGTTGCCTCTGTTTTATACTGTTTAAAATTAATAAAAACCATTGAAATACAAAAGGATAAGTTCACATTTTTTTTTTTTCACAATGCAGCCTGTAAAGCATTGTACCCACCAGCGCCCTCGTAGTTCATTGAGAACTACAAGGCGACAGCCGTGGCGCCCTACGGTACTTGTAGTTCATTCATTCACAGATCTGTGAATGAATGGAACTGTAACATTTTCCAAAGATGAGTCTAGATGAGCATTAGGAAAGAGAATGGAGGGCCATTTCCAAAGCCTGCTACCCACATTACTTAAACTAAAGGCTGCAGGTGAGTCACCTACTTCCCTTAACCGTAACTGAATGTCATTATCTTCCCAACAAGGTTTTCCATTCAAGCAGATGCTGGAATTGGTTGGAGCTACTAAAAAAATGTACCTAATAGAACCGCCACCAGAGACCCCCATAGCAGTACTTCCTGGAACAGAAAAACGCAGAGCAGAAGTTTGAATAATCAAAATCTATTGTCTCCGTTTCCGGTCCCTTGCAGATGGAAGTGAGAGGGTGCTATCATGAAACATACTGGAAAACTGTTCATGTTGTCATCTTTGCTCTAAATGGTGAGTTTAACTGTAAACTCCTGTCCCACTAATCCCAGTCACTGGAACAGAAAGCAAGAAATCTCCTCAATGGGGACATAGAAAGTAATTAAAATGCGACAGAGGTTTTGAAACTTTTCAGAATTTTCCCAAAACCAGAATAGATGGACACCACTAACTTCCTGTTTCTTTGACAACTCAAGCATTTTGAACAACTCAAGCATTACTTGAATACTTGACAACTCAAGCATTACTGTACAACAATGGTGATCAGGAGAAATAAGGAGGATGAATATCCCCATCAGGGGTACAGAAAGCAATAAAAACCTAAAAGTGGTTTTAACAGTTTCATATGATATAAAAAAAATTAAAGTCTTAGCTTTACATACACCTTAAGTCAGCACAAAGATTTACTTTATATACTGTATAATACAGTATAATAAAGTGGAACTTAGGAAAAAAGGGTGAACAGGCAAGAATTTTATTGCAGAAGAAACATGCTACGTCTCTTCTGCATTAAAGTTACTTACTTTCCTGTCCGCTCTTGTATAGTGAGCTGTGCACACAATCTGTGAAGGACACGCTTTTGAAACACTTCGTCATAGCAACCCTGTTGCAGGCTCTCTCCCCCTCCTGTCTGTCTCCGCGTCAGAAGATTTTCTTCAGTGCGTGGCGCCACCTGGACCAGGCACATGCGTAGTGGACTGGGCACGTCACAGTCGTCACATTGCTATCATAACTGTCTGTTTGCATTGGGATTTACAGCTGTCAGCAAGCCAAGTTAACACCATACTTTCTTACCTAGATCTTACAGTGGCGACCTAGGAGTGGAGGTTGAGTTACTTTACATACTGAAACCATCAATGTTTGAGTCTGCTTACAGCAGAGCAGCCAGCCTATAACCTCTGACGTAACATCATTAGTACTGTTTAGTACTAATTGTCCTTGTTATTCATAGCTCCGATTGGCTGCCCACAGCCTGCAGCCTTTTATTATTGGCTGAATCTGCTCGAGATAGCTCTCTGACTATGGTAGTCAAAGAGCTCAGACTGAAACAATAATAAAGGACTGCGGGCAGCCAATCTGAGGCCAAGGTTGTGAATACAGAAGAGCACTTAATAATTTGATGCAGTAAAGCAGCCCGCTAATAACGCCTGTGTAAATACATAGGGGTTAATCGCTGGCTGCTCTTCTGTAACAGATTATTAAGGGTTCCAGTCCTCTCCATTTACACCTGAGCCCCTGTACCCCCCTAGTTCCAAGGTGAGGGGGTAAAAAACTATGAGAAAAGAAGAGACACCCCTCCCCTAATTCCTGGGTATCTCTTTAATTCCCCTACCTTACTTCGGGGTTCTTATTGTCTGTCTGCTCCTCTACATATACGGGCCCCTTGTTATTTACAGCCTGATCCTCTTATTGGCTGCCTGCAGCCCGTTATTATTGGTTGAATCTGAGAAGATCTATCTGACTACTATAGTTAAACAGATATCTCAGATTAAACCAATTATAAAAGGTTGCAGACAGCCAATCAGAGGTTTAGGCTGTGAGTGGAGGAACCCTTTGCGTTTCTGTGTGAAAGTGCTAAAAGTAAGTGGGTTAGGGAGAGCAAATGACTTCCTTTCCCCAGGTGCCGACAATCCGTTCTACACCACTGCCACAAAAGTGAATCATCTAGAGACCTGCCACGTCATATTGACATGATACCGAGTAAACTACAGTTACCGGCCTGACCGGAGCACGTGCTAGTTTTTTTTGTTGTGTTTGACCCCTTTTGAACAATAAGATCATGAAGGACAAATGCTTATTAGTTACCAAGGACTAACAATTTTGGTATATTGTACTGTTCTTACAAATATCTAAATAGAACGCATGAAGGTAATAAACCTTGAGCATTTACAACTACTTTAAAGAAAAAGTCAAATTACAAAAAAAAAATAAAATATATAAAATATATCTTTGGACAGCTCTATTCTAGCCAGTTTATGATGACCAAATTTCACAGAGTAGTAAGTACATACCTATTGCAGTAATAGACTGCATTAGCTGGGTTATGCTCAATAGCTTTGGTGTAGAAGGCGACAGCACTTTCAAAGTTTTCCAACTTCATTTGTTCATTACCTTAAAAAATAATGCAGACATTTTAAATTGTGTATATACAAAAGATATACTTACAAACATGATGCTTTTTCACCATATAAATATATATCTGGAAAAAAAATGTTGACCCATAGTAGTCTTTTAGAATTAAAATGTCACTTTTGTGTTTCAAAGCAGCAGCAAAGAACATATAGAAGCTGAATGGATGCTGTGGGCTACAGTCAAAGCTGTACCTTAAAAGGGGAACTTTATCTCAGAATAAAATGCTAGTGGGAAGTCTTGTTATTCTGGAAGAAACATACTAAGAGACTAAGCCGATTATCTGCCTGCTAACAAAAATTACTTAAGATTGCATACTGAGCTGGGCGTGCAATATCAGCATACCTTAGTGTCACTGGCAATTGATGTGACTAGTAGTTTACACAATAAAGATAAGGATGTTTGTGCCTTCTTTTAAAGAAATTGACAGACACTGTATTTCTGGCCAGATCAAAGTATTTTCTACTTGCTGAAAATCTTAGCTTGAAAAATAAAGAAAACAAATGAAGCTTTAACATCTAGGCTCTGGTAAGCCTCAATATTAGTAGTGCACAGAAATTAAAATTCTGGACTGAAACAGAAAATTCAGGATGCACTTGGCCGAAAACCAAAATGGACAGCTTTAAAAAAAAAAAAAAAAAAAAAAAAATTTTTATACATAAAACTATTATATACGACTCTTTAATTAAAAAGAGAAGTATGGCTTTTTATTTTTTTCCCCCTATATACGTACCTAGGTGGATGCAGCATTGGGCCAATGCTGAATCGGTCCCCCGCTGGCACCAAGGAAGAGAACTCAGTGATCACATGACCACTGATCGCTGAGCTCTCACAGCGGCTCTGAGCAGAGAGTGGTGACTGTCAGTCACCGCTGTCTTCTCTGCCCTCCCAGCTCTCACTGGAGTGCTGGGCTGTGGAGGGAGAGGGAGTGGCTGGCTCAGGCTCTCAGCGACTCACTGAGAGGCTGAGCCAGGTGCCTCTCCAGACTCTGGGATGGATCCAGACTTTGAAGGCTGGAACTTTCCCCAGCCTGGACCGGCTGAGCGACTTCAGCTGACAGCAGACGAAAGCCCACTCAGCTGAAAACGGGTCACAGGAGTGCAGGACGAACTGCACTCCTGTGATCCACAGGAGTGCAGGACGAACTGCACTCCTGTGATCCACAGGACTGCAGGACGAACTGCACTCCTGTGATCCACAGGACTGCAGGACGAACTGCACTCCTGTGATCCACAGGACTGCAGGACGAACTGCACTCCTGTGATCCACAGGACTGCAGGACGAACTGCACTCCTGTGATCCACAGGACTGCAGGACGAACTGCACTCCTGTGATCCACAGGACTGCAGGACGAACTGCACTCCTGTGATCCACAGGACTGCAGGACGAACTGCACTCCTGTGATCCACAGGACTGCAGGACGAACTGCACTCCTGTGATCCACAGGAGTGCAGGACTTGCTATTAGTTTTGCAAATTGAAATGTGTATGCTTAGATTGCATGCTTGTTTTGAGTCTATTATTTTCAGATTATGAATAGTAATCAAGAGATAGTTTACAGTTTATTAGCTGGGGGGAAAAAACAAAAAAAAGACAAATTTGCAACTTTATCAAAAAATTAACAAAACATTTTAAAGGATATCAAAACCTATGAGTAAAATGTAATATATTGCAGCTTAGTCCTTAGATGTGGTGGCTATCACAAAAAAAAAAAAAAAAAAAGGGGAGAGAGAATAAACATCACTCCAGGGAATCAGCCTGCCTACAGTACTCAAAAGGGATCCAAAAAGGACAAATACAAGATCCTCAGACCTGTAAGTATTCAAATAGGAATATCATAGAAAAAGGCAAACAGAGAGGACGATTAAACAATGGTTTTAACTAGGGATGCACCAATATAAACGGCGACTGAAAATTGTGGTATCGGCATTTTGCCGTTAGGAAAAAAGGTGAAGATAATGGCTTCTCTGTTTTTATTTAAAAAGTGTCAAGGCAACTCACATGCAAAAGTAGTGCCTCATCAACTTTCATGGAAAGTCGCGTCCTCATTGACTTCAATACAAAAACGTCCCCTAGTGACTTCAAATCACGGCCCATAGACTCATTCAAAATTGCGTCCCCATTGATTTTAATGTAAAAATGCCTGTGATCAGTTGTGGTCATTTTGATTAGCACAGCAAGAAAAGAGCTTTCCTGGAGCATTTCAGTCCCTGATAGTGCAACTTAAGCAAACAATCGACTATGGGTGGCATGGCACCGTCAAAAGATCTCCGAGATAAAGCTGTGGACAGGCACAAGTCAGGAGATGGATACAAGTATAATTTCATAAGCTATATCAATGCCTAAAAGCACAGTGAAGTCTATTATTAAAAAGCGGAAGGTATTTGGTACAACACAGATCCTCCCTTGATCAGGACGTCGGTCCAAACTGGATGAAAGAGCCAGGGGGAAACAGTCAGAGAGGCTACCAAGAGGCCTACAGCAATTCTGAAGCGGTTGCAGGAATTTATGACAAAGAGTGGTCATTGTGTGCATGTGACACAAATTCTTCACAAATGTGGCTTGTATGGGAGGGTTACAAGAAAAAAAGCCACTCCTCAAGAAAGGCCACATGCAGTTATGACTGAGCTTTGCCAAAATGCACCTTGAACATTCTGAGGCACATGGAAAAAGGTGTTATGGCGAAAATCCATCTAGCATGGAGGTAGTAACATTTTGTTATGGGGGTGTTTCTCTGCAGCAGGGACTGGAGCACTTAAGTCAGGATATAAGGAAAAATGGATGGGGTAAAATAACATCAAATTCTTGAGGAAAATCTGCTGCCCTCTGCGAGAAAGTTGTCATTGGGAAGAAGGTTTACCTTCCAACACGACAATGACCCAAAGCACACAGCAAAAAATGACCACACAGTGGTTGAAGGAGAAAATGGTAAATTTCCTTGCATGGCCTAGTCAGAGCCCAAACTTAAACCCCATTGAAAATCTGTAGAATGACTAGAAGACTGCAGTTCACAAACGATCACCAACAAATTTAACTGAACTTGAGCAGTTCTGCAAAGAAAAGTGGGCAAATATTGCAAAGTCTAGATGTGCAAAGTTAGTAGAGACATATCTCAGCAGACTAAAGGCTGTCATTAAAGCAAACGGCGGTTCAACAAAATACCGACACAAGGAAGGGGGTGATCTTTTTTTCCAACTCAGTGATTCTGTTTTTGAATTTTTTTCTGACATGTTGGTGTTATAGCTTTCACTTGGATGTTATACGTTCCACTGAGTAAACACCGCTGGATAAAACAAAAACTGTGTCTGTCTTTATTTTAGGCTGCAAAGAAATGTTGCTTGCCACATTTTTAGGGCAAATATTGCTCAGTTAAAACACCTGTGTTGCTTTTTTGAGTCATGTCCTCTGAAAAACGCACCGGAATCATCGTAAAATCATGGCAAAAATGCATATGCGTTGTACCATGTTTTTGCGATGGATCTGTGTGAAAGCGCCCTAAGATCGTATTGATGAAGTCTCCTTTTAAAAAGTTATTCTGAAGATTAGGTTTCTTATCTAGTTGAGGGATATATTCCTCTAATACAGATGACTGCAATGTATTGTTCACATACATACAGTAGAACAATATTGTAACTGGTGTGTTCTACCAAAACGCCATTATAAATGGTATTTCCTAACAATTCCTAATTTTGCTCAGATATCCCGTTTCAGTTTGTCATGCCACCCTCCATACCTTTGACTTCACAATCGCAGAGGAAAAAGCTCTGATAACCTGGATAAAAAGTAGGAGGAAGGCTCTTCAATGCCAGTTATTACAGCATTTATGGAATTAACCTTGAGTTAACTAGTGAACAACCCAACAGATAGCGGTTTTATTTTCCTGATTTACCTTTATTCCTACAACAAAGAATATATTCTCTGTGGGAAAAACATTTGCAAAATAAAAGTTGAAGCAATATTAAAAAAAAAAAAAAAAAAAAAAAAAAAAAAAAAAAAAAAAAGATTTACCTTCTGTTTTTAGCCTTTCAGCTTCTGTTACATCCTCTTCTGATGGTGACTGTGGATTTGAAGTTACATTTGGACTTTCCTAAAGAAAGTTATTGTGTTGGATTATGCTTCAAGTCAAAGTTTAATATGACAATTTTCTATCTACTATACTTGCAACATTTTTTGTCTGCTATACTTGTTAGAAAATTGTTTTTATTTATACTTCTAAGTAACTTTGAGTAAGCAGAGGATTTATTCTGTTTCTGGCAATATCCACGCAAGTAAAGCAATAGAGAAGACAATATAAAAGTTCTCATAAAACGACTAACTGTCCAAGAAAAGCAACAATTTGAATCATATCTCTGAAGGTTCTAATTTATCCAGGTCATGGTATACTGTAGCTAGCAGTGATTGCTCACATTCAACTGGACTTATTCTGTAAAACTGAAGATGTTTTGTAGCGCACCCAAGCCACTTACAGTTCTAACAAGTGTCAGATAAATACTCCAGCATTTACAAGTAGCCATGCAACTAGAACACAGGGGCCCCACACTTTTCACACCTTCAATCTGTTCTTGGACAATCACCATCCACACTAGGGTACATAAAACTCCTTAGAACTAAGAACTAGAAGGGCCGTGAAGAAGCAAAGAAACATCTTCAACATTACAGAACAAATCCAGTTGATTAAATCATTACAGGCTAAATGTGTTATTTAGTAACTAGATATAATAGTATATTTGTTTATATACAAAACATTCTCAAATGTCTTGGTAAAAAAGATAAGCTGGTTTTATCGAAATAGTGAATAAACAATATGCTGTAATATCGAAATAGTGAATAAACAATATGCTGTAATTTTATAAAACCTGAAGAGAAGCCATGAGAGTGACTATATAAGGTGCAATGAAAGCACCTGACTTGCCATTTTTGTAAATTATCCCAGTGAAGGAAATAGCAGCAAGAGAAAAGGATTGCGAGCTCATTTCATCAGCGATATAATGAAATAGTTTAAGAAGTTTAAGAATTGTCCTCTACTTCCTTTATGTAATTTATATTACCTGGTATCTAATTGTGGGTATATTCCCACAATAAACCCCCAGTATGTACATAAAGGAAATAAATATAACAGAAATAAAAGATAAAGAACAATTGGAAAGGCATCATTCATAAATAGCTTATTCTAATTAATATCAGTACATTCCTGTGACACTTGTACTGAGTTATTTGCATAACCATAAATTCATTCAGGTTACAAATGTCACAGAAGTGTCTTAATGTAAATAAAAACACTTCTCCAAAAGAACATTAACTTTAATTTATATTTTAACTGTTATTTTCTTGCTTTTAAAATAAAATTTTCAGAAGAGTATATTGCCCATGATCTTCTGAGATCATGGATGGAAATTCCACATCTTTTCAGTTCTACTACACATCGTGGTACTACCTCACACCATGCCCGTACATGAATCACACAGGAAGGGGCCATGTGTTTCACATGAAGTTCTGTGTGTTGCGATTTCAGCCCATTCATTTTGAATTGGGCTAAAATCACAATGCACCAGAAGTAGTGCATGCACTACTTTTTAAAATGCACTGCAATTGGTACAAAAGTACCATGCAATCTGGTGCGGGCAAACTCTCTGCATTTGTGACCTGCACTTGGGGTGTCATTAAGTTTGTATTGATACCCACTGCAGATCGCAAGTAGAGTGTTTTGCGTATGGTTTGCAACGCACAGTGCATTCCTGTGAGGGCATAGCATGAACCAGCTGTAAGCACATAAATACCTGTTTGTGTTAAACTACCCTTATATCTCTTCCGCAAAATTACACAGCTAAAACGATGGAGGTGTTTAAACTACCAAAACATCTCCTGAAATAAACTGGAAAAAGGAATAAACAATGTGTACCTTTAAAATGCAAATAAAAAAAAAACACAAACTAAATGAATACAATTACTGACATCATATCTGCACAACACTGAGAATATCATGTCTACCTTTACTGTAGCTGCTGCAAAAATCTCTGGGAGTGTCTGACATACGGCCAAGCTACGATCCTCTATTGAAACTTCAAATGCTGTTTCTAGACACTGGATTGCAACTGTGGGAATGAGACAAGCAGTTCATTTATCACTGCACAATTTATCACTTAAGAAAAGGATTTGAACAGGAGTGTAACCATTTTTGGTACAATTAGGATACAGTAGGAAAGGGTTAGAAACTTTGTCAGGTTTGTATACCTGACTTTACCTCCATTGGGGAGATGTTCCCTAACCTTTTCCAGACACAAGACAAAAAAAAATGAGGTAGGTCTTGAGCACACCAGCTTTATTTGAAGTGTACAAAATGAGATGCGCTGCCTGACGTGGTAGTGCGGTTCGGGCCGGTGCGCTGCGATAAACTGCAGCATGTCTGCATTTTAGCACAGCGCTAGGCTGCGCTGCAGTATGAATGGGACACATAGGAAACAACTTTTTCCTGTGTTTCCCTATGGTGACAGATTTTTTCCTATGTGGTAAAACATCTGTCATGGCACATAGTGTGAATTTGCCCTTCGGTCTCATTCACACCATACATGCAGAAAAACTGTTGGAAACTGACGCACAGATTTCAATTGCCGGCTACATCAGTTTTCATGCTTGCTCCAATGAGTTATATACACATTGCCGATTCCTGCGCATAAAAAAATCTGCACGTGATTCTAGTGTTGTGGTGTGAACAGGGCACATACAGAATAATTGATTTTGTTGTGTCCTTGCAGAATGCGTGCAGAAAAATTGAGGTCTCTGCATCATGGTGTGAGAGAGCCTTAAGGAACCCAAAAACATAGTTAGGATGAAAAAAGTCCAGTAGGTATTTTAGACAGAACATCATAGATCCAAAGTGAAGTGAACACCTGCCTTTTGACAGTCATAAGAACAAGTGTCCCACTGACAAGAACATACCTCTCTGCTTCTGTCTTGGTGGAAATTTAAAAATAGGTTTTGTATGTAATGGAATCGACCCAGAGTGCACTTGAGTACTTCCGTTAGAATACCACTTCCCCGTCCGAACACCGACAACAGACACCACAGCTGACCATACAAGACTAGACGTCACCAGTCTTAAAATAAACTAGTTAAACTCCTGGTTTATTTCAACACAGATACAAGATATATCCCCCCTCCCTGCATAATGACACAGGGCGGGGCAATCTACATTTAGTAACAAGAGACACACAGGTATTCAAACTTCACACCAGCAGACAGTCCCATCAGGAGGGAGAGCTGCTGGAGACAACCCCCCACTAAGCCAATACACAAACACATACATCCCATAATAGTTTGCTCCCAATCAAGACACACAATAGAACAATGGGATGCAACCACATGACATTAAACAATCAACAACCCCAAACACAATATTAGGACAGATCACCCTGTACCCCTAACAGGCACAGGGTGACTTACACATAATAGGGATATGGGGAGCTGAGACAGGGGTCTCCCCACCTCTCTAAAGTGAGCTGGGTTCCATAGGCCCCCTACCCAAAGTTACTCCCGTCACATTGTACACAATGTAAACTTTTTTCTCTAGCAGTTCATTAAGGGGACACAGCAGACCTCTGGGTATACACTCTGCCTCAGGAAGATTCGATACATAGTTGATAAGGTTTATACAAAGACACAGGTCCATCCAATTCAACCTTTGATACCAGGCCATTCAAAAGGCACATTGAAAGCCTTGAGATCTAGGATGAATCAAACGTTTCAGTTTGTCTGGATTTGTCTGAATGAAAACCCTGGAATCTGCTCCAAAAGGTGGTAAAGAAACCACAACTCTCTGAGAAATTAGATCTGGTAAGGTCCTTAAAAAGTGCAGAAGTCCAATAAAGTTAACTTAAAATGAAAAAACATTCATCAGTAGGAGACAAAAAAATATCTTGTACGTAGCTGTGACAATCCCCCTAACCCAGCAGCCAAAATTTGGCAAAAGTCAACATTCCTCTAAATCTACTGTTCACAGTTGGGGATAGCTCTTTCTGCTACAGAATGTACCAGGAGAACTTTTACCTGGATTGAGGCATAATTTTAGAGGAACAACAGAAGGATGCGGATCTTTCCTACTGAGAAGGAAAGGCTCACCAAAAGGGACAGAATGAGGGAGCACCTCAGTCTACCCATCCGAAGTGCTTTGTCCTCATACAGATGCCCTGATAACTGCATTCAGGTAGGCCCCAAAAACAGTATTGCCCGTAAAGGGAAGTTCACAAGAAACTTAGAAGTTTTGCATGCAGAACAACAATTGAGCAGAGACTTTTCAATGTCACAGTCAAAGCTTGATGTGGGCAATCAACACTCCTCTGTCCAGGGAGGCATCACATATGTACTTGGTCACCTAGAACAACTAATCTGCTACATCAATCAGGTATTAAGGTGAGCCCTTTAAATTCAAGTTACTAATTTTGAATCTTGCTTACTCTGCCACAGCCTGGTACATCCAGGTATCGGTGAAACTGGTCTAAAAGCCTAACTAGCTGAAAAGAACTTCATTGGCCAAGGTCTCCAGGTTTTAGTCTAATGGGTTCTTAAAATATTCAGAAATGGCAACTGGGATAAGAGAGTTTTTTTTAGCTCCCCAATGAATGATAGGAAAGTTTCTTTTTGCCCTGTGTGCACTAATGAAAACTGTCACAAGGACAGATAGTGCAAATAATTATCCCAAAAGACAAAAAGTCATTAATAATAAACTGAAGAAGATTCAAATCCTTCCCCACTCTTCTCGAAACAAGAAAATGTTCCTATTGCAGTCACTTTCTCTCTAACAGCAGTGGTTTAAAAATGGCCAGTGTTAGCTAGTTTTAACATGAAGACATAGACAGGCAAGCCAGTAAAGTCTAGTCCACAGGTAGACTGTATCTGGGTACACTTCTTTATTTGAGCCAAGAGACACATTATTAAAATATAGCTTTAGTATTCTAAGCAGAACTCCAAAAACCCATAAGGTGCTTAATGGCATTTAATAAAATCAAAGTACAATAATGTACTTTAATACAATTTCTCCAGTTGAGTATTTTCCATAAATTTTTAATGTCCTGTAATGCAGGGATAGAAAGAGTTTGCTAACAATAATGTAAGCGTGAAAAGTTTTAAGTCATAAGACAGACAGGTGTAGCATAAAAATACACCAATTTATGCCCCTATTAACACCTGAACATTTTAGTGCCTCCTCCCTGACAACATCAAAAATCCTATTCTTTTCTATTATGGCTGTCATATCTCTACGCTCATCCGCTTGAAAAAAGTACAACATGAGCCCCTTTTGGGAGCTGTGTTCCTGTTTTTGGCTCCATAGAATTTAATGTAAATTAAAATTCTTCTGCTCTCCTACCGCCCAGGAAGCCCAGCTAATGAAAAAATGGCCTTGCTTTGCTGGGTGTAGAGGCATTTTTATGTAAGGTATGAGAATACCCCAATCTTTACGACCTTTGAGATACATATTACAAAAAAGAGGCGCAAGAAGCAAAATGACTTTGGGAAGCAGGTGTACCCACATTGGTAATCAATCTTCACATAGCAAGACAGACACATTAAGCCTCTCTCTATATGCCTGTAGGGCCCATTATTAAGTATGTATACATATGATATCACAGATTATACTGCTTTCCATTTGACCATATAAAAATGCCTGAGCTTGCATACAAAAAACTTTTGATAAACACCTAAAAACGTTTGACTAACCTTAAGCTTAAGTGTGAACGAGGGCTAAGAGGAAAACACAAAACTGAAAGTTTTAAATCCAATTGATTTTAAGACTGAATGAATATCACATTATAATATTCTGATGGCTTCTAGATTGACTAGCACTTTTCTAAAGTCTGAAAGCCCACACTGCTCTGTAGAATTCCTACCTTGTAAGAATTGATTCACTGGTTGTTTGCTACCATTGTATCTTTTAACAAACTTTGCACTTCCTCTGCTCATAATGTGACAAATTAAATTGTTACAATGTGCCAAAGGAGTACAAATACAATATGCAGCCTATTCAAGAACAACAAACTTTCAGCACACTGTCCACAGAAATAAAGAAACAGACAAACCTTCAAGACTTTCTTGAGCATCAGAGGAAAGTTCTCCATTTTGCAACTGATCTTGTAAATACTGGATGATGGAAAATGCCAAACGTTTCTTGTCCGCCATTATTTTTTTTTACAAATCTTTATGTCACAAGAGCCACCTCTAAAAATGCATTAAACAGTTGTTAGGATAAGAAAGCAAATCATCATCTTATAATGTCACAGTAACAAAAAAAAAAAAAAACTACAGGTGAAAAAACAAAACAGTGGCATAAGTTTCATTTCAAATTGGTCCACAAGCCTAGTCACATGGAAGGCATATACATTCAGAAATTAAAACATTATTATTATTATACAGGATTTATATCAGGATGGATTTGATTTAAATCAAACTGATTTAAATCACAATTTAAATCATGATTTAAATTACTAGTCAGTAAGGCTTGATTTAAATCATAGTTTTCTACATAGACTAATTCTTGCTGGTATAACTGTAATATGCAAATAGATGAAGATTTTTAGAATAACAACTTTTCATATTAGTTTTTTTTATCCCCAGTTTAATAGGTTAATCATTCATATTTGGACAACTTTTCTGTTGTACTTAGGGAGGAGAAAAATAATCATTGCCTTAATAACAATTTAAATAGATTTATTCATCTGAAACAATAACATTACAGCATATGTTATTTGCTTAAACTAACATCCATGTTTGTTAACTAATTTGGCTAAACAAAATATATATATTTTAAGAAACTTAGACTGTCAGCCCCTTCCTCCTCACACTTAGTTTCACTTTCTTCTTGTGCAGATCTATTCCACTCCAAACAATCAGACAAATATTGTTTTTATTCTATTCACTGAACTTCTTGAAACTTGGCACTGAAGGGGTTGATTCTGTATTCATAGGTTTGTAGAAGTTAGGATTAAGGTCTTTTTCTTAACTCTGTTCATGTTATAACATTTTTGTTGTGAAGAGGCATGTGATCTCCGCTGAGTCAAATTCAGTTTTGAGAACTGCAAAAGTAAGCCAAGCATCTGTGATAATATCTTGTAGGCAGAGAAACTGCCCAATAATCTTACAAAAACCTCTGGAAGAGCATGACATTGTGAATGGATTCATGGAATTTACCAAAAAAATTAAACATATACAGCCTTATTCTACATAATTAAAAAACTAATCTTTATTTCATGATGGAATAACCTTTGGATGGTAATATATTTTCCTCAGAAAGCATTTTATTTAAAAAAAAATCTGATTTAAATTAAAAAAAATCTGATTTTTTTGATTTTTAAAAAAAAAAAAAAAAAAAATCACTGATTTTTATCCACCCTGATTTATATAGCGCCAACAGTTTGCTCAGCGGTTTACAATATAACGGGAGACAATACAGCAACAATACAGTTCAATACAAAAGGGATTTGAGGGCCCTGCTCCTTGGAGCTTACAATCTAGGACATTACACATAAAATATGCAAAACAAAGTGCTTGGCTAATATTTTTTTTATATATAATAGCATGGTGAAAGTCTTGCATGGTAAAGATGGATTGTAGATTAAATTCTTATTAGGGAGACTTTCAAGATAGAATTTTTATGTATTTTTCATGCTTGTATGAAGGTGTTCTTTAGGCCTGGTTTATGACAATGCATTTTTTTTTGTGCTTTTTGTTTTTTGCAGAAATGCACTACAGTCCATTTAATATGGTTTCCAATGGGAAATGTTCACATGTGCTTTTTTCAGCTGCTACATTTTTGTAAAGGGTCAGGGACTTTTTTAAATGAAAAATGGTGCATTTTTGGTTCAATAGACTACAATGGAGATGCTACATAAAAGCATGTAATGTGTTTTTGAAGCGTTTTGTGGTTTTTAACACCTTTCTGCCCAACCTAGAGTATTTCAATGTTACTATGGTAACACTGCATTGCTTTGGTCACAGTGTTTTGAAAAAGAAAAAAGTAATAAAAAAAATAGAAATATTTGGAAAAAAAAAAAATTTAATTTTTTTTTTTTTTTTTTACATACTGTCACCAGTCAGTGTCCCTGATCACTGCCACACCAGTCATATACTAATGATGTACTGGACTGGTAACAATATGTATATAAAAAAAAAAAAAAGCACATGCAAAACGCACCACAAAAAGCACTGCAGAGATGAATCAAAGGCAAACTGCATAGGAACAAAAACATACTGAAAAATTTAAACAGTAAATACCAAAACTCTTGCCACATTTGTGTAGGAATGTCTGTCAGGGAACATACTGATGTTTATTAAAGCGGACCTGTCACCAAATTTAAAGTCCCCATTTAAAAATTTGTCTCTGAGGGTTTGTTGGTGACCTTACATACGGAATAAACACAGGTCACATAGAAACAGCTGATTTCTATGTGCCCAATTCACACCACAACGTTGGTGTTTTGTGTGTAGAAAAAGGCAGCATGTCTGCATTTTTTTTTCAGATCACTGGATGGCACAGCATATTACCATGCTGTTGTACACAGCCATGAATGAAGAAAAAAACAACAAAAACTTAGCAGTGAAATATGCAAGTCCTGCCAGACTAGTGACATCACATCCGCTTGTTGAAATGCATGCTGGATGCATACAGTGGTGCTTCTTGCTTTTAAAGTGGTAGAAAACTGTTTTTAAAAAACTGCTGCTGGCAGGCTATTGATGACAGAAGAGACCTGATTAGTCTCTTCTGTCATAAATGCTGAAGGGCGTTTTTACTTATATCTGTTAACAACCTTTTAAGTCCAAGCACCCCTATATTAGACGATATGGGGAGCCAACAGGAAACATTAGTAGACATCCATCCGCCCCCACAAAAATGTCTATCCATTTAAAAGGTAATTCAGTGCTGGACAATAATATGCAAGTTAGCAGACTGTAACATATAGGCATTCAAGGATATTAATACCAATGTAAAAATGGATCTGTGGCATGACTGTAAACACAGGGACATCCCGTGACCACTGCTCAGCCATATCTCTGTCAAGGGCCCCAACAGGGACAACAAAACAGTGGACTGCCCTGTAGTTGACAGCTCTCATATATCATCAAAACAAGATCTGTGAAGTTTTATGAGAGTCACTGTACCATCCTGCTCATTGACTGAAGTCTGCTGAAATAGGACTTGAATCGTATTTTCACTTTTCAGCGCTTTTGTTTTGCTGTTGCATTGCTGTCTCTTTGTTATCTTTGTAATATTTTTTTTTTCTGTAAACATTTTTTTCTGCGCCATTCTTTACCTTTTCATTATCAAAACATATTTTAAAAAGTGTTAAAATGGTTTCTGATGCACTAACGTAAAACTGAAAGAATCCTTGTCTCTAGAAGGGTGCTACTACATTGTCACCACAGACAGGTATATCCAGAGATTTACAGAGTGTGTACATTTATTTAGATTCATAATTGTCAATGATGTTATTGGGAAGGATTGATGAGCCCCAAACTATCTGATGACAGTGGGGTTTAAAGTGGTAGTAAATTCTTATTGCAACTTTTACCTAGAGGGAAGCTTATAATAAAGGTTACCTGTCGGTAAAATTTGCATTGTTTAAGAGATATTCTCTCTTCTTTACAGCCGATGCATGCGCTCTGAAGGATTGGTAAACCCGCGCTGTTCCTTCAGAGTACTGTGCAGTGGCCCAGGAGTGACATCATCGCGGCCTGCGCTGTCAGACGACTGGAGCTCACGAACCCGGAAGGAAGGACAGGATGGAAGCCTCTGCAGCGGTGGAGGGCTTCATTTTAAGGTAAGTCCTTTATAGTGTGCTAGTATGCAATGCACACAAGCACATTATGACATTACCTTGCAGGGGACTTTTTTTTTCCCTGCAGTTTACTACCACTTGAAAGGGTTAATCGCTTAGTTAACTAAACCCAGTGACATTCGCTCTCAGCCTGTTGGCACTTAGATCATGGGTCTTCAAGCTAGAAAATGTTTGTGTAGCCTGAAGCTGGGAGTGTAATTGTTGTGTATTAGTGACAGCATGGTGTGATTTTGACCAGTACTAGTCATTTGTCACACGCTGGTGAAGAGAGGGGTAGTCTGACCCTCATTTGTCACAAAAACCACTTCAAAGTGACATCCAAGTTGCACTACTTAAATTGCACTGAAAGTCCGATCAAATTTGGATTGCAGCACTGTGAACCTAGCCTAAAGCAGAGCACCAGTGTATCTAAACAATAAGCCAGACAGGAGCTGAACAGTAGAATGATAGCATGAGGCAAGGAGACATTGCCATCTCACTGCCTGTTTTAACCCCTTCGATGCAGGAATACAGCACCAAGCTTGACGGGGTATAATTCCAAGCAAGTTGTACCTGTTTATTTGCAGCCCTCTCTTCTCTACAGCTGTTCAAAGTGAAGAATTTTTACAGCTTGTCTGAGCTTTCAGAAAAAAACAGAGGGTGGGAAAGTGAAGTTATACTCTGCAGATCTCAGTGAGAGCTGATTGGAGGGAAGGGACACATAGCCCACAGGAACAAAACTGGGGCTGTCAATCACAGGCTGTGTGCTGGAGGTCCCTCCCCTGTAACCATTTTTCTCTTGGTGTCAGAACATTTTATCAGAAGTGCTGTTGCTGATAGAGGAACAAAGCGTCAGACAGAAATGAATAGAGAAACAGAAAAAGGGCGCACTGACCTAGTGCATTATCGTTTAAAATAAATTATTGAAGAAACAAAATAGGTATCATACTCACAATGGACATAATAACACAGGCATGTCAAACTCAACAAGATGTATGATCCAAACAACATCTGAGTCCATACGATGGAACCCTGGATGACCAACTGGCTAACGCGTTTCGAAGACACAACCTCTTCCTCAGAGCCAACACCAGGTTATTATGTCCATTGTGAGTATGATACCTATTTTGTTTCTTCAATAAATTATTTTAAACGATAATGCACTAGGTCGGTGCACCCTTTTTCTGTTTCTCCATTTGTATCCAGTGTATTTGGACCACCCCGGTCTGTTGAGGGCAGCAAGCAGTGCATACTCCAGAAAATTCCAGAACATTCCTATTGGGTCTACCGAGTCCTTTCCTAGCGCAGGAGTAAAGTGTTTGTTGTGTTGGCAGACAGAAATGACACTGGATTGAGACAAGTACACAT